CACCAGCCAGCCTCACCAGTATCAGACTAGTCTTTCCTGCAGCAGAACCACAGGACTAAGCCTGTCCCATGCTATACTCCTATTTGCCTGTCTCTACCAGATGTTAAAGCTTCACTCTGTGTCAGCTGTCACTTTAATTCCCATGCTCTCCTACTACGATTTTGATCCAATATTGCTCCCATCCCAAACCTTCCACCATGCCCTCTGAAAGCCAGCCACCAGTCTATTCTGAATACTCCTTCACCTTCTTATTCTGCCTCTAAACCAGACTCACCCCGAGGACACCATTTCCCTCGGAGCCTGTTCAGTGACATCTTTTTCTTCTTTTAACCCAAGTACCATGATTCCTGGTGGTGAGCTAAGTCTCCTGTCACACCTCATAAGGCCTCAACGTCAACTTCTTTGAAGCCCACATCCTCAGATTATGTCCCATATCGAGCAGCATTCCTTGATGATTTTCATTCCGGGGTCACTGTCATGGCTTCTCCGTGGTACTACTTCTACCATCACTTGTGGCCATCTCATTGCCCAGAGGATTCTTTGAACACCACTGTCTATTTCTGACCCTTCCACTTCCAGCAATGACTCTTCATCTTCCACTCATATAACCATGACCATAACCTACATGTCATCACCAGTAACTGCACCACATCTCAAGGTTAAGCATGCCAGTCTAGGACCACTACCTCCAATTCCTTAAAACAGTACTCCTACACCATTGAGTCAATTTGCCAAGTCCTGGACCAATTCCAGTCACCAGAGAATGCTATGCTTTTATTGGCTTTGGCTAATCAGACCCATCCCTGGACCAGGGATGCTGGAAACATTACTGTCAACTATAGCCCTACATCCACTTTCAGTAGTTTTGCCCTTTTCTTCCTCTGTTGAAGGTAGGTGGCAAAGCTCTGACTAAAACCAACCCCCCCACCTGCCAGAAGTTTTTTCCCTAGTATATTTGCTTTCCCATTCCTTAAGACAACCATTTCAGTCATGCACTACATAATGTTTTGTCAATAGCATACAGCATGATGGTCCCATAAGATAATGGAGCTGAATTTTGTCTAAGAAATGAAAGGGTATGTGGCTCAAGATCTCTGTGGGTCACTATCTGTGTGCTTGACAATAGATTCCATTTCTCACCACCTCAATTTTGAGAGCACAGATTACATCCCAGTGACCTGTTAAGCAGAGGAGCCAACCCCTCAGCCTTCCCAGATCTACCTTGGGTGTCTTCAGAGGACACTGCTGTATATTCCTGGAGGACCTCAGATCCTGCACAAGGACACAGGTCCACAGATACTACCTCACGTACTATGTACCACTGCCACTTCAGTAAGAGCTTTCTGCAGGAGTGTGGAGCCAGCCTGTCCCTCCCTGTACTTAGAGGCCTGATGCACGAAATTCGTGCAAGAGTAGGTCTTCCTTCCCCTAGCTTCCAGCACGAGCTTCCCTCTGGCATCCAAAACCTGGGCTTCCCTCGCAGCCTCAGCTTCGTCTGGAAAGTTGTCTGGTCTAATAGCATATTACCTGGTACACTTTTAATACATAGGGTAAAGTTTAAGTTTTTTAAAAAAAATATTTTGATTTTTTTTAGAGGAAGAGAGAGGGATAGAGCTAGAAACATCGATGGAGATACATCGACCAGCTGCTTCCTACACACTCCCTACGGGGGATGTGCCTGCAACCAATGTACATGCCCTTGACCGGAATCAAACCTGGGACCTTTTAGTCCGCAGGCCGACGCTCTATCTACTGAGCCAAACCGGTTTTGGCTAAAGTTTTAGTTTTATTTCTTCCATCAATTCAATGCCAGAGTGCCCTTTGAATCAGATGGGGTAAGGAATCAAAAACTAAAATCTCCAAAGTTAAAATCTAGAGGACCAGCTCTAGATTGCACGTTAAACACCACCTCCACGTTTTCTAGGCATACCAAAATTCCTTAATCTGACTTTTGCTCCAACATGCAATCGCCAAGCCACATTGCTACAATCCCCTTCTCTCCCCCATCTTAATGATTCCTCCTGACCCTCAAGCTGTTTTACTCCCTCCTTAGTCACTATCATGGTGATCTACATCTTGCCCAGCCCATTTGGTTTCCTCTTTGTATTTCCAACCAGTCCAAGGTACTGTTTATGGAGCAGCATTGACATTCTACACGATCCTATAGAAAGCAAGCAGGGAGGGGAGAGGGTTTGTGGTTCAGTGTTTATAAAGTCTACAGTAGTATAGTGTCCTAGGCCTTTATTCATTCACCGTTCTGACACCCTGAGCAACTTCCACTCCTGCCATCTCCATTCACAGGAAATGCCCTATACAGGTGTGTCATTTTTAATCTTTTATACCATATTTCTACTCTACCTTTTCTTACCATTGCCTATGCTTGGCCTACAGCATTCTTGGCCTACAGTAGTAGGCAAACTACCTAAGTCTGAGTCAGATGCTCACAGATTACCTAACAATTCACTTCTCCGAACACATGTATAGTTAGCAACACATTCCTGTACATCTTTTCTAAGAACCATCACAAAGGTTCTTTTGAACTCACCAAACTGAATCAAAAGGTGAATTGCTCTACTTGGTGTCTGTTGGTTGGGCACCGTCTCGTGCAGCAAAAGGTTGCGGGCTTAATCTCTGGTAGGGGTGTGAAAGAGGCAGCCAATAGATGTTTTTCTCCCTTTCTAAAAATTAATACAAAATCTTTAAAAAGCTCCTGATTAGTTTGGCTCAGTGGATGGAGCATCGGCCTGAAAGGTCCAGGGTTCAATTTCAGTCAATGGCATGTACCTTGGTTGTGGGCACATCCCCGGTAAGAGCTGTGCAGGAGGCAGCTGATACCGTTTCCCCGAAAATAAGAGTGTCTTATATTAATTTTTTCTCCCAAAGTTGCACTAGGTCTTATTTTCGGGAAAACATGGGTAGATGTTTGTAGCTCTCTATCCCTCTCCCTTCCTCTGTAAAAAAAAAAATCAATATAAAAAATATTTAAAAAGATGATTTGACATCAAGTCTCAAACTCCATTAACATATTCAATACTTTTGCTTCCTCCCAGATTCTGAAAATATAGTCCTAAATACATTTCCATGATATTGCCATCTATCTTTACAACCCTATATAATAAAAGGCTAATATGCAAACAGAACAGTGGAACCACCTAACCACCAGTTGCTATGATGTTCACTGACCACCAGGAGGCATGTACAGAACATGGCAAGTATCAGCTGTGGCAGCATGGAGCAAGTGAATGGGGGAGGGGGAAGGTGCGACAAACCAAGGCAGAGCAGTTGCTGTCATTGGGGAGAGCATCTAGTAGTTACTGAAAATTCTTTGCTCCCACGTGCTACTATTCAGCCCTGGCACTCACTGTCAGCACAAGCCTCAATCGTTCTGTGCTGTCAACAGGTGCAAGCAGGGCCAGCACTATCAGCGTGTGAGTGAGCTGTTGGCACAGGGGACTGGGGGCAGTGCCAGGAGGGGCAGAGAATGGGCCATGACCCGGCCCTTTGCCTACCGCAGCCTCACACCCCAGTTCCTCCTTTCAAGGTGCACAAATTCTTGCACTGAGTCCGTGGTCCTAACCCGTAATTCCCAAACAACCTGTCACCAGGAGGTGCATTGATGGGTCCTATGGTGGTGGGAGGGATTCTGGTTGTGCGGGATTTCACTTGCTGGGCCTCGTCACTCAAAATTAATTATATATTTTACGGAAATTTCCCAGAGCATAATCTATTTTCAAACAGGTTTAAGTTAAAGTTCCTACTAAGGACTATAAACCAAAATAAAACATGACAAGACAGTTACACAAAGACAATTATTTAAGACCTTTATTAACAGGTGCTTGCAGTTTGTTGACTTTTTTGAAAAAATCAAGCTGTAAACTTTTATTACAAATTAAAAATGAGGTTCTTAAAAATCTCAACTTGACCAGATATGAAACAATTTAAAAACCTTTAAAGGTGTATTGAGAAAAACCAGGCTTTTTTTTTTTTTTCTTAAAAAACACGTTTGTCATTACCAAAAAGAGACGTCTTTAGATAAAAATAATAAAAACCCCATGCTGCATAGATAATGCAGATAGTTCTAGTTATCTGGTCAACGGGCAAAAAGCAAGCACTTAAGGTCTTCAGCTCCAATCTTTTGTTCATTTCTTATTGCTGGAATTTCGTATTTCTTCTTGTTGGATGACTAAACTGTAAAAGAAAAAAACAACAAAAAAACGAAGAGATTATCTTGACAATTCACTGCAATGTTATTTCAATATACCAAATGCTCCAGGTAACATCAACTAAGTAGGGATGTGAACAGGAGCAATCCACATAAATCAAACTGGTTTAGTCTAGGACAGTGATTCACAATAGGGGTGGACACTGCTGCGACATGGTTACTTGCAGGTTTCTGGATGATCTTTGCCACCCAAAAAATAGCATAGAGGGACAAAACCAAAAAGCATCACTGGCTAAACATGCTAATTCCAGCTAGGCTGCTATAGCTCAGGGAGATGAACATCATCCCACACACCAAGGGGGCATGCAGGAGGCAGCAGATCAGTGTTTCTGGCTCACCGCTAATGGTTCTACCTTTCTCCATATCTTCCTCCCTCCCTCCCTCTCAAATCAATAAAAACGTATTTAAAAAAAATTTAATTCCAGAGCCAAGAAGCCTCCTGATATCAGGTAAAAAAGAATACCATACTTTTGAAATTGATTAATATGTCAAGGTTACCACTTTCTCCAGAGACTATATTGGCCATCATTATCTAGGTTATTAATTTTAGTAGGTACCCATTTTTTTTTTGGTGAAAATGCAGAACACAAGGTAATTAACATACTTCTTAGGCAAGGTTTTCAAAACTTTCTCAACTGGTGAAATCACAGAATACATTTAAAAAAGTTTGAAAAAGGTTTTTCTCTTGCAAAAATGAACTCATGACTGCTCAGAGACTAGAAGAGGTCATTTAGGGTCAATTACCCGGATGATGGTAAAGATGGTAAGCCGGCACTTTTTACTCAGCCCCGCCCTGCTCAGCCTCGGGAGCGGACGAATTCTCAGCTGGTGGATCGGCTGCTTTTGTCTCTTTGCCATCTTGTGGTTTAGGGTTCTCTGGGCGTCTGCGTCGGTAATTAAAGTTGCGGCGGTACCGACGTTGAGGTGGCTGCTGACCTTGGGTCTCATCTCCTTGATTTTCCTTATCTTCTTCGTTGCCGTCCTCTCTAGGCTGTCTTTGGCGAGGAGGGCCCCTGGAATGAACATTGTGCAAGAGCACAATGATGAAACCTTATTTCTTTAACCACCCACTAGTGTTAACACCATTATCTGGTTCTTTCTGTTTATCAAGTGGTCTGTAAGCAATTTAGCAAAAACAAAGGAGCAAATTTGTATTTCCCAAACTGAGGGATGACTTGGTACAAGATCTTGGAAGTGTAAATTGGAAGATGAGTCTTTAAAACTGGATTTTGGACAAGCAAACTTTTACCAATAGCATAATCTATTACACATTAACCATGAAATGACTAACACTTGATGTCATTTTATAACATTTTAAATAGGCTTTATAGTAACCAAGTTTGGGAACAAGTGCTGTTAACTTTTGTAGATGAACACTGGCTTAAAATGCAGGAAATCAAATTTAAAGAAAAGATGTCCTCCTCATGTAAGTGAAAGTATAGTCCCTGGGGAAATGAATGAGATACCACTTTATACTCACTAGGATGGTCATAATCAAAAGGTAGAAAAATAATCAGGGTTGGTGAGGATGTGGAAAAATTAAATTAAACCAAAGTGTCTATAAACTGATCAATGAACAAAATGTGATATCTACAGAATAGAATATAATTTGGCCATAAAAAGGAATGCTATGACATGGATGAACCTTAAAAATAGGATAAGTGAAAAAAAGAAAGAAAAAAAAAAAAAAAAAAAGCCACATTATATAATTCCATATATATGAAATGTCCAAAATAGACAAATCCAGAGACAGAAAGTAGATTAGTGTGGGCCAGGGGTTAGGGTAGAGGGGAATTGAAGAATGCTTTATTGGAAGGTGATGAAAAATGCCTGGAATTTAGATACTGGTAATGGCTGCATAACTTGGTGAATATGTAAAAACAAAACAAAAAACAAAAAAACCCCAACAACACTGAGACATTTAAACCCACAAAGTTCAAGTGTTCAAGTGTTACATTGCAGCAATTATCCTCAATAACTTAAAATTAAAAATATCAGCACCAGCCGAAACCGGTTTGGCTCAGTGGATGGAGTGTCATCCTGCAGACTGAAGGGTCCCAGGTCAAGGGCATGTACCTTGGTTGTGGGCACATTCCCAGTCTGGGGTGTGCAGGAGGCAGCTGATCGATATTTCTCTCTCATCAATGTTTCTAATTCTCTCTTCCTCTCCCTTCCTCTCTAAAAAAATATCAATGAAATATACTTTAAAAATAAACACAGCCTCCTAAAAAACAAACAAACAAAAACCCCCACAAAACTTATTTTTGCATCTACAGTTAAGGTTGTTATGTAAATGATTATCAGTTAGGAGGAGTAATTATTTATGTGTTAGTTTCATTCTTGACAGACTTAGTTTAGAAATCACATCTGGAGACTCTGATTACATTTTGCCATTTTGGGGTGACTAACAAAATGTATAGACTTAGAAATGATTAATGGAAAATTAGGCTACCTTCAGAGACTGCTCATGTTTGAAAGGTAATGCTCACCTTTACCCTTTTCCCTCTCAAAGGTCCTAAAGATATAATAAAGCAAAACACACACAAAACCACCCCGAATAAGAAGACCCCATCTATGCAAATTGTTTTTAACCAGAGCCAGCAAAAAGGATGACTTCAGGTTTACCTTCAGGCATCTGACAAAAGCAAATATGAAGTGTTAACAGAAAAATGAGCCAAAAGATTGCAGAAACATGATGCTGCCCATTTCTAAAATATGCTCGGGGAAAATTCTAAATACAAACCATACCCTCTCAAAGGTCCTAAAGATATAATAAAGCAAAACACACACAAAACCACCCCGAATAAGAAGACCCCGTCTATGCAAATTGTTTTTAACCAGAGCCAGCAAAAAGGATGACTTCAGGTTTACCTTCAGGCATCTGACAAAAGCAAATATGAAGTGTTAACAGAAAAATGAGCCAAAAGATTGCAGAAACATGATGCTGCCCATTTCTAAAATATGCTCGGGGAAAATTCTAAATACAAACCATACCTGCGGAATCGTGGCCTATAGCCTCGATACATATTCTGTCTCACTGGTCTGCCTTGTTCTCCTGCACCCTGGTTGTCAGCACCCTGAAAAGACAATGGAAATCAAGCCAACTGATCAGTAATGGAGAAAAAACCTAACAAGACAAATCCAAAGTTTAGACCCAGGGGATTAAAAATAAATAAAATCATCTAGTAATTGTGATTATGGTATAAGTCAGTTATTAATCTTGTTGATTCTTATTAGGAATTAAAAGTGCTTCTCATTATGATTATATAGAGAAGATAACAAGAAAATGCTCATAATGCAGTCCTGTCAAGTTATCAGTGTTGATCCTTTTTTTTTTTTTTAAGCTAATCCTCACCTGAGGGTATCTTCTCATTGATTTTTTTCATTTTATACACACACACACACACACACACACACACACACACACACACACACTGTATTTTCCGGTGTATAAAACGACCTTTGAAACGAAAAAAAGTCAACCGAAAACCGGGGGCAAAAGACCAAAATTGCACAAAAATTACCTGCAGATTTTGACGGCAAAGTTGTCTTTTCTTTGAAGGGGGGGGGGGGGTAGTCTTATACAGTGAATACAGGCCTAAACCTGTTTTAACTGTAAAATTAGGGGGTCGTCTTATACGCCGGAAAATACGGGGTGTGTGTGTGTGTGTGTGTGTATATTTAAACAAATCAAAGGTGTTTGTTTTTTTTTTTTTAAAAATATATTTTTATTGATTTTGTACAGAGAGGGAGAGAGATAAGAGTTAGAAACATCGATGAGAGAGTCATCAATCAGCTGCCTCTTGCACACCCCCTTCTGGGGATATGCCTGCAACCAAGGTACATGCCTCTGACTGGAATCGAACCCGGGACCCTTCAGTCCCCAAGCCGACACTCTATCCATTGAGCCAAACCGGTTTCTGCCCATTGATTTTTTTTATTTTTATTTTTTTAAAAATATATTTTATTGATTTTGTAAGAAGGGAGAGAGATAGAGAGTTAGAAACATCAATGAGAGAGAGTCATTGATCAGCTGCCTCTTGCACACCCCCTACTGGGGATCTGACTGCAACCAAGGTACATGCCCTTGACCGGAATCGAACCCAGGTCCCTTCAGTCCCCAAGCCGACGCTCTATCCATTGAGCCAAACCGGTCCCGGCCCATTGATTTTTTTTAAAGTGGGAGGGAGGGAAGGAGGGCGAGTGAGCAGCAACAGTCTTAGTGCGAGAGACATGGATTGGTTGCTTTCAGCATGCAGCCCGGATCAGGCTAGGGATCTAACGTGCAACCTAGGTATATGGCCTTGACCAGAAATCAAACCCATGATACTCTGGTTAGAGGGCCGACCCTTTAACTTACCTCCATCACTTCTCCCTGTACAGGAGGGTTGGAATACTGTGGTCGACGCCCATAGGGTCTCCGCATGTAGTAAGGTGGGAACCGTCGCCTGCGATAGGGCCGGCGTTGTTGGCCCTGGCCTTCGGGAGCACTCTCTGATCCCTCGTTCTTTTCCCCACTCTCACTATTCTGGTAATTCTGCTGGTAATTGCGTGGAGGACCCCTGCGACGTGGATAGCGTCTATAATGGTTACGGTCTGCTGCGTATTTACTGCCTTGTACTGGAACTCCACCAGGGCCTGTAACATTTGCTGCCTCCGCACCCTACAAAAAGCCATAATATATTGACAGTGACAACAGAAGTTAAGTACACTAAATAAAATTTACATAAAACAAATTTTAAATAAATAAAGGGTCTGTGGCCAGGGGTGCATAGAAATGATTAAGTATGAGTTCCTCACTGTTCTGATGAGATTGCCCTCTAACTGCAGCCAGCACATACATTAGGCTTGATGCACCTGTGTTCATCTGGTCACCTGACCCATCCATCCACATTAGAGCCACCATCCTAACGGATGAGATCTCCAAAATATTTCCACACTGAAGTCAAACCTTTACACAAAAAGCATCCTCACCTTTTCTCCTTCAACAACATCAAACTCCACAGTCTCTCCATCTCCTACACTGCGAAGGTACTTCCTGGGGTTATTCTTCTTTATGGCAGTCTAGTAATATCACATTCCAAAAATAGATTAACAGGGAGAATAATGTGCTTTTTCATTTAAAATATACCAGAGTCAATATTATTTTAGCTTTAAATTAGCTTTAAATAAGACCAAATCACCAATAAGTTTACAAAAACAAGGACCAATACTACCCCCAACCTCAACCAAAATACTTGTCTTACAATGTCCCAGCATTTTACCACTATTTTCCAAACTAAAACATGTAGCTTTAATACTCAAGAAACAATATACATATATATTCAAATGCTTTTAGCAAAAGCATTGTTACTTTGAACAAAATGAGGATATCAATCTATCCCCCAAAGACTGCACTTAATAGTAGAAGCAGCTAGCCCAGAGGGCCAGTTTAGATGACAGGCGAGTTTAGTTTTGCATGCTTCAAAGTTGACCAAACCAACTTTGTCCTGTGTTACCATATCAAACTCAATTACAAATATCAACCAAAATCCCTTCCAACCTGTGATAATACTTCATATAGAATGTAATTCAAATGTTATTAACTATGCCACTTTTTGTATTATCTAACTGCATGGGAAAGCTGGTTATTAACTCCCAATACAATAAATCTCACATTTACTTTTTCTCTAAGCTGCTATAACAAAGTAAAAGGGGTAAGAATAGCACCTCACATTTGTGGGTAATACTTCTATAAAGTTCTTTCACACATTATCTACTCACTCTCAATATGACAAATGATATGAGGTATTATCATTCCTTTTTAAAATAATTTTCTTTTGCAGATAAAAAGGTTAGGTGACTTGTCAAAGTTTACATAGATAATAAGTGGCAGAGTTTAGATTTTTTCTAAGTCCAGGTCTTGGGACCCCAAATCCCTTGTTAATTCAACTACATCACAGCGATACCATTACAGGATCACTCATGCATTTCCATTTCAAAGGAGACAGGACAACCAACAATCTGAAGCCAATTAAGCCAAGTTGCCCAGAACTGCAATCTCCTTGATAGTACATCACTAAGACCTGAGCAGCCAAAGTCCCAAGAAACAAATTAATGTTGAAGCCACTTCCAAAATAAAAAGCGGAGCATATTTGGTGACATTTGCAGGTCAGTACAAGTGGGTGACACTCATTCAGCCAAAAACTTGATCTCATCTGTCATCTAAACTGTCACATAGTTTTCAAACCTTTCATATTTAACCAGCTCTAAATTACTTGCAGTCATAGGGGATAGGAGAAGCATGGATAATTAAAACACCAAACTCAGTCAGCATCTTCAACCCCTCCCCCAATCCCGGTAGTGTTTCTAAAAACTTGCTGTTTTTTTGTTCCTAAGATTGCATATTCCTTTGAACAGGCAGAACACCCATGAGGATATTCAAATCCAACAGGGTATTTGATATACCGTATGGGATATTCAGATAGTAGTATTCACTGGGTAGTGGCTTAACAATGAGTCTTTAATGCTCAGGTATTCTCCAAATATTTTCCTTAGATGGTACTTGAGAAAGTTCAGCATATAGAACCTACTGTTAGTTCTTTCATCTCAAAACATCCAAGTCAATCTAAAAATTATTTGAGTGCTTACCAACTTTGCCACACTGCCCCTTCATTTAGCCTTAAACTAGCGAGGATTTCAAAAAATCCCACGCCTGCCAAATTTCTCCAAAAATAAAAATACATCTTACCCATTCAAAGTGCTTTGGAATAAGCAGAACTAATGTTACTCTGCTAGTTTTCTAGCATCCAAGTTAATGTCTTGCAGCCCTGTCCTACCTGTCCCATGATTACTGTAATCTATCCTTACTACAGTTTAACCTAATAGCATTTGAAAACATCTTTAAGTTTAGATTAATGAAGTTTTTTGCTTATCTAAAATTAATATCTAAAAACAGTGTAATGACTTGAGTAATTCTATTTTAAAAAGCTGTAACTATTAACAATATAACAATTTGAAACACCTATCTTAGTTAAGTAAACTGCCAATATGTCTCAATGTATACATTTAAGCATCCTATCACTCTTCCTGTGGGAATTCAATGAATTAGTTGAGAAGACACCCTCCCCCCCTTTCTTCTCAAAAGCCTTGAGTCAGAAGCATAAATATCCACACAAGCACCCACCTGGTGTACAAATACATCTTCCTTGGTGTCATTCCTGCAAGAAAGAGAACCAACTTGAATTAGGTTAAAAATGGAATACATTTCACGATGCCTTTTTTGTATTTCCCCGTCTTTTTCCTACTATTAGAGATTTTGGGCTGCCAACTAGCCATTAGAAAATTTAAAAATGAAACAAAACAATAAAAACAAAACTAGCAAGCCACTGTGATATCTAAAGACTAAGCAGTTGCCAACAGTTGTTAATCTCACCACCTGTAGGAAGGATAAGACAGTCTAAGAAACCAAAGGGTGACCCACTAAGCCATTAATTAGGAGGGCAGCAGTGACTAAAAACATCTACTGCCATTCCTTATCCTCCTAAACATTACCAATGTTCCAGCACACCCCATTTGTACCTCTAGTGCATGGTTTCTTCCATTACTAGCTTCCTTCTTTCTCACTTAATTCTCAATCATTTCCTCTTCGCATTTCCTATTCCCAACTCTCTTTTTTTAAAATATATTTTATTGATTTTTAAAAAATATATATTTTATTGATTTTGTACAGAGAAGAAGGGAGATAGTTAGAAACATTGATGAGAGAGAGTGATCGATCAGCTGCCTCTTGCACACCCCCCACTGGGGATATGCCCGCAACCTAGGTACATGCCCTTGACCGGAATCGAACCCGGGACCCTTCAGTCCCCAAGCCGATGCTCTATCCATTGAGCCAAACCAGCTAGGGCTATTTTATTGATTTTTTACAGAGAGGAAGGGAGAGCGATAGAGAGCTGGAAACGTCGATGAGAGAGAAACATCCACCAGCTGTCTCCTGCACACCCCTCACTGGGGATGTGCCCTCAACCAAGGTACATGCCCTTGACCGGAATCGAACCCAGGACTCTTCAGTCCGCAGACCGATGCTCTATCCACTGAGCCAAACCAGTCTCGGCCCAACTCTCTTTGAGGTCATAAAAATTACCACTAAAAACTCCATAGGATGTACAACACAGGGAGGGAATCCTAAGGTCAACAATGGAGTATAGGTGATGATAATGTGTCCACGTGAATGCACCAACTTTGGTTCTGGTGTAGGACTTTGTGCATGTGTAGGCATGGGGTATACAGGAACTCTATTCAATACTGTCATGACTTAAATAAAGTATTGACTTTTTGAAAAACCACTCACCACAATTAAGTACAAACACAGATATCACCAATATCCACATCATTCATGTGGTAAGCATTACACTGAAGAATTAAGCAGGTAAAGACGAATAAAACTTTCCACTAGCACACACAACCCCTTCTCACCTATTAGGCATCATTTTACATCAATCATTAGCCTAGTCAAGCTACTGATAGTAGTTTCCACTATATTTGCTTCTGCACTTTAAGTTCAATGCAAACTGAGTTCAAACTGGGTGGAGCAAGTGATATAGCTGTGTGGGAGGTTAAGAATAGGAGCTGAAAATAGTCATACAGGTAGAGAACCTAGTAAAAGCTTTTAAATAGAGGCATATGGCATGATACAATTATTACATACTAGAGGCTGATTATTACATACTCGAGGCTGGGTGCATAAATTTGTGCACAGGTGAGGTCCCTTGGTCTGGCCAGCCATCTGTCCCAGTCCTGATTAGCCCTACTGGGACACGCTGGCTGGGAAGAGGGACAGCGGGAGTGCACTGACCATCTGCCCCCTGGTGGTCATAATGGTCACTTAGGCATGCATATACTATACTATACACACACACACACACACACACACACACACACACACACACACACACATATACATACATATATATATATATGTTAAAATCTAGTGGCTAATATGGAAAATTTGAGGTGCCCATTTAAACGCTACTTCAGAAATCTAGAAGAGGAATGGGCTAAGGGTCTCTATGTTAACTGTATTTAATATGTTTTGCAGTAAAATGGGAAAAACTTTGTGGATAAATGGGTGTTAGAAATGAGAAGTGGAGCCGAAACCAGTTTGGCTCAGTGGCCTGCGGATTGAAAGGTCCCAGGTTCGATTCCAGTCAAGGGCATGTACCTTGGTTGCGGGTACATCCCCAGTAGGGGGTGTGCAAGAGGCAGCTGATAGATGTTTCTCTCACATCGATGTTTCTAACTCTCTATCCTTTTCTCTTTCTCTCTGTAAAATATCAATAAAATATTTAAAAAGAAAAGAAAAAAAGAATTTCCTATTGGAAGGAGATTCTTAAAAAAAAAAAAAAAAAGTGAGAAGTGGAGAATTATGTGCATTTTTAGGTTGGAGTTAGGGTAGTGATATGAGCAAGAACCACCACTGGAGATGAAACATTCCTAGACTGTGTTCTTCCACCCTCTTCCTTCTATTAGCAAACCAGAGTGAGAGGGCCCAACAGTAGTCCTATTGTTTAATGTCAAAGGAACAAAGGTTAAAATGAACTAGATTGACTGGCTTATTGACTATGGGGCTCCTGGCTGATCCATGATGCAAAGCATATACCTAAGAATCCATATAACCTAGAATATCATTATCATGAGGATATTTAACAGGACAGCTTTAATTCCTGTCTACAAATAGTTTCAAAACCACCGCTAATTAGTTTTCAATACTAACATGATGGCAGGAGCTGGAATGTCTGACCATTTGGGCTGGCTCTTCCAAGGCATTAGGGGTGAGTTAAATGTTTGACCAAATATAGCAGGCTAACCTTTAAGTTGATTAATTTTGTATGGCCCTTGGCAGAAAAAGATTTCTCCACCCTTGCTGTAAGGGGACAAACAAAAAATTGGTAGAAATTTAGAAAATTAGTAGAGAAAAATTAAGAAAGGTGGGAAAAGTCTACAAGTGATTCTCAATGAGGGCAGTATTGGTCACCAAAAGGCATCTAAAATTGTCCCAGAGACAGGGGGCAGGGCACTATTTGCATTATGGGTTGAAGGGTGTCAGGCTTGCTGGATGACTAGGTAAAAATTATGTGGTCTCCTACTCGACTTTCTTGTAAGCAAATGTATAATGTACTTGATTTCTGAATCTAGCAATTCCCCCCCTCCCCCCGTTCTAATATGCATTAAAATTTACTAAATATGCAACTTCCATGGAGAGGGATTTTTAAAATTAATAATGCTGCTAGTGTATCTGGGCAACCAATACAATACAGTGCTTTTAAAAAAATATATATTTCATTGATTTTTTTAGAGAAGAAGGGAGAGGGAGAAAGTGTTATAAACATCGATGAGAGAGAAACATCAGCTGTCTCCAGCACACACCCATTACCGGGGATGTGCCCACAACCAAGGTACATAGCTTTGACCGGACCTGGGACCTTTGAGTCCGCAGGCCGACACTCTATCTACTTGAGCCAAACCAGTTAGGGCCAGTGCTCTTCTTATCAATCCATATTTGTAGTAGCACTGACTGTTCATCATGTCTTCTAAAGAAGTTGCAAATAGTTACTTACATCAAAACATTATACATTGTAATAAAAAGAAATAAAAGTAGTTTATCTGCCCCAGGTGGTTTAGCTCAGTTGACAGAGCATCAGCCTAAGGAATGAAGGGTCCAGGTTCGATTCCAGTCAAGGGCACGTACCTAGGTTGCAGGCTCCTCCCTGGGCCAGGCCCGTACAGGAGGTAACCAAACTCTCACATTGATGTTTCTGTCTTTCCTTCTCTCTAAAAATCAATGGAAAAATATCTTCAAGTGAGGATTAACAACAATGGAAAAGTAGTTTATCTATGAATTTTATTTCAGGGTTATAGAAGGAATATTAGAAAAATTTCCTAAACTACTTAGGACAATCTTCTTAAAAACAGTACAAGGAGGCTCTCTGCTCCTCCTGTTCAACAGACGGCTGCAACCTTGAGACATGATGGTGAAGGTCGGAGCAAATGGATTTGGCTGTATTGGGCATGTGGTCACCAGGGCTGCTTTTAACTCTGGCAAAGTAGATATTGTTGCCATCAATGACCCCTTCATTGACCTCAAGTGGTCTACATGTTTGCTATGATTCTACCTATAGCAACTTCAAAGGCACAGACTACGAACACAAAAAAACTTGTCATCAATGCAAAGTCCATCTCCATCTTCCAGGAATGAGATGAGATCCTGCCAACATCAATGGGATGGTGCTGGCGCTGAATATGTTGTGAGGTTCACTGGTGTCTTCACCACCGTGGAGAAAGCTGGAGCCAAGAAGGTCATCATTGCTGTCCCTTCCACAAATGCCCATGTTTGGGATGGGTCTGAACCATACAAGTATGACAACTCCCTCAGTCCACGTGGTCACAGCCACCCAGATCCCTGAGCTGAATGGGAAGCTCATTGGAAAGACCTTCCATGCCCCTATGTGAATCTGACCTGCCACCTGAAGAAAGGTACCACATTCAAAGACATCAAGGTGAAGTGGGCATCAGAAGGCCCCTTCATCCTGTGCTATCCTATCCTAAGAAGCAGGCCACCTCCTGCAACTTAACAGTGACACCAATTCTTCCACCTTTGATGCTGGGGCTGGCACTGATTACTTTGTCAAGCTCATTTCCTGGTATGACAACGAACTGGGCTACAGCAAAAGGGTGGTGAGCCTTATGGTCCACATGGCCTCCAAGGAGTAAGAGGCCCTTGGCTCTTGGGAAGTCCTTGCCCCAAATCGATCCAATAGAGAATCTCCTGACCACCAGTTTCCATCCCAGACCACCTGAAGAAGGGAAGGAGCTAAGAGAGCCCTAACTTGTCAAGCACTAGCAATAAAGTTCTCTGGACACAACCAAAGAAAGTACAAGATCACCATCTCCTAGAACAGCTGGACCCCTACACCTGCAGCTTCCACACCCATGGATTCAGCCAACCAGGGTGCATGCGGAAAGGGGTTGTTGGGAAAGAAGAGTCACTGATGTATGCTATGTATAGCATTTACTTTCATTCTGATAAATGCATCATTTTGTGATTCTGTCATGCAACCAGAGTGCCTTTATTTACACAAACCTAGACTACAAACTTGTACAAGATGTTACTGTAGGCAACTATAAACACATGGGTAAGTGTTTTGTGTATCTAAATAGA